TTTTTCAAAGCTATGCTTTTCAAACTTTTCCATCGTATCTCAAAAACAGCTGGACCGGTTGACTCGAATTCTTGCAAACCTAAGATATTCCTAATAGAGGAAACAGAACAAAAAGCAAAATTCACAACTTTTTATGAAAAAATCAAATCAAAATATGTCTACCAAAATCTTTTTATTTGATAATAATCCGACGACAGAATCGACGCTTCTTCTGRGTGTTACAAACTTCATGACAAACTTAATATACCCTGTTCAGGGTATAATAAAAACAACATTTCCCAAAGCAGCAGAATTATGATAAAATACAAAAAATATTTCAGAAATCTTTTTCTAAAAAAGAGCCCTTTATGTAATAACATATCAAAATAATGGCTATGATGGGACATCCTAATTGGATGTTAAAAGGCTTCTCGTAAAGAGGGAGGATGGAGCGAACAATGCCATCTGTTCATCTGTATAACATWAGGATGAATGCTCCAAGTGGCACCCACGTAAAAGGTAATACACCGGCTGCTTCAGAAGTGGCAGGGGCACACAAAAATTCCTTAACCACGATTTCAGTAGGAAAAGAGGAACTCGGCGGTAAGAGTTGTAGGACCGCTAGATACGCAGCTCGCAAGCAGCGAATACATATTGCTGAATCCAGTTTTCAAGTCAGTAGGGACCTTCGCGAAAAAAAGACTTTAGAGCCAGGTAAAAAACACGGAATACACGAGGTTACTAAGAAACTCAACGAAAATGAAACACAACCCAGATTTCAAGAAGCCGACAGAATGGGAGTGCACGATTTCGAAGAGTCTGTAATTTCTTCGCCTGTGTCAAACTGAATCAAGGCGTTATACTTCTAAGTTGTCAACAACATTTTTTATCTTTCCCCAAGTGCACCAACGGATTACAAATTAAGGCATATTTATTTAATTATTCCAGGAGGATCGAAAAGAGCGGAAGCAACCCATGACAGAGGAATTGTTAATCACGCAGATAAACTGCCTTCGAAGTAGCACTTTGACCACGAATCCGGTACTTATAAAAGGAAAATTAATCATTGCTTCAATACAAAAATTTAGTTGTTTTGAAATAAAGAAAATCGGATAATTAAAACATATCTCTCCCATGCAAACGACCTTTTTTTATCTCTTCGGGTTCTGAATTAAAATTTATAATTCATAAAATGGAAAATATTTCTCGAATGCGGGATCAACTTTAAAAATGTTTTGTATGAGAGATATGTATACTTATGTTATTCTTTATATTCGCCGTCACTGTTAACTATAAAGTAGAGAACTATTCTGCAAAATTACAATCTCTTACCTTTTTAATTCAAGGCACTATACCGGAAAAAATCTAAATCATTGCATATTAGATATGTGATATAGTTGCCAATACTCGTATTTCTCTATTTTCCTGTCATTGTTAAGTATGTACTGAAGTCTGCAAAATTACATGCTCCTAGTTTTCTAATTAAAGGCGGAAAATTTAATAAATGAATAATCGGTTGTATGGGAGATGTGTAATATAGAAGACTGATCCAGCCGTTTCCGACAAATGACCAATAGAAGGTCAAAATTCCCGAAAAGTTAAACTTCACTTAAAGAAGTAAGGAAGAGTTAAGTTCGGTTATAACCGAGCATTTCATTCTCTTGCAACTTACAAGGATAAAAGCCGGGGTTTTCCCCAATTTTATTTATTCTAAGCACAAGGACGCACCGTTAAAACACGCTCTTTCGTTTTCATATAATTCAGTGTAAAGTCAACCGGAAGTTCGAAAATATTTAGATTATGTATATAGGGACAAAGTGTAGCCCCGATTCAACTCTTTTTTGAYACCCCAATGTCACTTACTTAATTTGGTAAAAATCGGTCGAGAAGATTCCGATAAAAGATTTTACATTAAAAAGGGCGGTACCACGCCCATTGTCCGATTTTTACTCCGGATACTCATTTTGGAGGTAAAATTTAATGTAGAACAACCCGTTCTACCGTACATGTCCTTTGACTCCCATCATCCCTTAGCATCATATGCTAATTACCATCATACAGGCTGAGGCAGCTTAGATTATGATGGTAAAATGGCTCTGTTCTGTTAAAATAGTTCTAAGGCCGTACTCTGTATGAGTGTAGGTAATAGCTCTACCCTTCTCAATAGTCCTAGAAGGGATCTTTTAGTTATTACCATGTGAAAAAAAAAACGTTCTAGGCCTGGTATCAGATGAGCTAGTCTCATTAGAGCATTCTTTTTCCTTACCTGTGATCAGAAAAGATGCTTTGGTATTTATGTGTTTATTCCATCTGGGCCAGTCAACAATGTAAAGGATTTTGCCTTGCTGATATCCTAAACCTCTTCAGCAATGAAAATTCGCGGCAATCAGTCTTTTGTCATTATGCGAAGCCACCGTCTAAACCGGTTTATGGCGTTGTGTGTTGAAACCCAACTCAATTGTCATTTCCCTTCAGATTTGATAAGATTTTGACAGTGGTCCAGAGTCATAGGTGAAGAGGTTACTGAAATACAAGTGCTCCACCCATTTTGTCCGATAATGTTGATTTACCATATGACGAATCGAAATTGTGATCATATATGCGGTGATCATAATGTGTTACGCCCGCTTACGAAAACTACTGCTTTGGTTGGGAACTTAAGGTGAAGGTCCAAGGTACACAGCCGAGATCTAAAGGCATGAATACCACAGATCATTATCGCACTTATGTCCGGATGATATCTTGGTGGGTGTACTAATGTGATCAAATGAAAGGTGAATTTTTAATTTATTCTATAAGTTGGTAGTACTTTTAGTGACATCTATGCTAAATTTCACGTCAAGGTATTCATTAGTAATTGAGATACGGATCGTTTGGTGAGGCTCTGTAAGTGAATTCTTTAATTTTTACCTTCTGAATTTATTGWWCKAAGAAGTGCGATAATGCACCATCTCATACTGCATTGATTATTCGTAATCATTTCGTAATGTAATGGGTGCAATACAAATGGTTCACGTATTACTTTTACGAACTAAGAGGGACACCCCATAATTGCCACAATGAGGTTGTGGATGAATAAACCGACACCCACACTAAACCAATTTAAGCCAAGGTGCCGAGGTATGTACCTATGGTGATGGCTGAATGGTCAGCGGGCGGTAATAGAGTAGTAGACCGCGAATGCCTAGATCAAGATCTTCTGGTCTTCTTGTGGAACCACAAATGGACTTAGAAAACTCCATAGGACTTCAGGACTCCTACCGAAGTCCAACGAAAGAAATCCCTAAATCCGCTGAGGAAAGGCAGTTACCAGAGGGCAGTCTTCATAATAGGCAAGAGTTCCAAGTACCAGGCAGCTGGTACCTCAATTGACGAAAGCGATAGAGCGGAAGACTATCGAAGCTTCCTGAAAAAGAAGGGAGGAGAAGCGAGTAAACCCATAGTGGTGGGCATTTTCGAGGAATCGTTAGGGGGTCTTTCGAAAGCTGATTGTCAAAGAGCTTTAGGCGCGTTTTTATCAATCTGCATTACTCAAAAAGAGCTGCGGTAAATTTGACAATCCTTAAGCGTGAGCGACATCGACATCAGCTTAATCCAAGAGCGCTGTGTGAAAGACGACTCGATCAAAGGGCTAAATAGCAGAAAATATAGATGTTGTATTTTCTAAAAGAATCAAAATGAAGGTAAACGAAGAGTATRTATGTATGTATAGATATAAACGCATTTCTTTGTCATAACTATAGCACAGCAGATAACACAAGAACAAGAGGGATGTAACTTTTCTTTTGTAATATTAATAGAGAAAAACAGAAGGGAGGATATCCTAATAGGATGTGTACCTAATGCTACATATCGAATGTCGAAGCACTGACACAAACGCCAGAGGTGAGGCACTATTGCAATTTTAAACAGTAATCTAAGCAAATGTCAAAGGTATGTTACGCTCACTTTCATTTTCCCGAGTATGGCCAATTTTTCGAGTTGGGAGGAAGTATTGGATCTTACGTTGCCCTAGCCGCCGGGGGATCACGACGACATGATGTGCAGATGATCAGTGACACAAACAATTTATTTAATCAGATGAATACTTTGATAAGTACTAGGTATAGAGAGGGCCTTTGGTGCTTTATTGAATAACTCCGGGATACAGAAAGCAACCACGTATATGGATACTCAATAAGCACGCTGGAATCATCGACGTCATTTGGTCGTTGTTGTATAAATTGGAAAATATAGAGTGGGCCTGCTTGTTGTTACGGACGGTATGAAGTTATCTCAACAAAGGCTCTGGAGGTGATCTTTGATATTCTACCAATTCATATCCAAGTGAAGCATGATGCTCAGCGTCGTAGTGGCCTTGGTAGTATACAAGAGACCTCAAGCTAGAATGGGCATGGAAAGTTAAACACAACGTTCTTCTACCTCAGTGGAGAAGAATGGACTAATAGTTCTATGCTGGCTCGTTTCAACCGSGATATATATGTATTCACCTATGGATTGGCAGGTGAAACAGGAATAGAAGTCGCCTTCTTCTGTAGCAATTCACATAGGTACAGTAGGTAGCATATTCAATAACCAGCATGCTCATTAAACTTCCGTACCTTCTCTAAATCTCACTGCGTTGAGTTATTCAAGTTGGCAATAACAATACTTTCAGTAGGCAACTTGTTAAAAATCATTTACCTAGGCTTATAGGAATAGAAGCAAWGGTAAAGGTAGAATGTATACTACAGAGGAATACCTCAGGTTTTAGTACACTACCAACAAAGAGCATACCACAAAGATGCATTCGATTTGTCGATTTCACCGATAAATAGAATATTTCAATATTTGAATGTATATTTCGGCTTCATTTTCACATCGACCCACTTAATATAAAGGAATAATCTAATATTTATATTTTTTTATTGATTTACATTTATTTTGTTCCTTTTTTGTATACTTTATCTTTAAATTTAATATAATTTTCAGATTACTAAAAAAAAGTAACAATATACATAAGCTCCGCCAGTTACACGAACTCAGAGATGTTTCGAATTTTGCAGTTTATCATATGTGAGCTTATGATAGTGTTGGTTTTTTTAGTTGCATGTGTTTTTTGTTTTACATTTGTTTGTGGTTTGTTTTTGGTATTTTTATTTTTTTTTAAGAGATGTTTTGCCTAAGTGCATTTTCTTCCCGTCGTTCGAATTATACATGTTTTTTTATTTTATTTAAATTAATTAAACAAAAAATATTGTAAATTGTTTAAATTAAACATAACAAATAATTACGAAATATTATTTTAAAATATTTTTTTATAAACGAAGTACAGAAATGGCATTTAGAATTCGTTTTCCGGTGCAAGGTCGAATCTTGGTGGGAAAGCCAATCCGTCAAGTTGTGGCCGTACGGACATCGCTCGGGGCTGTTAACAGAGAATGAAAAATAAGKAAATTTGTGTAATTATCGGTAGAATTAGAGTATGAAATAAATACAAAAAACCAAATGTTGAATTTACGGATTTATGTGTTTGTATATAACTGCATATGTATGTATATGAAAATGGCACGACCACAGATGTGCACGAGTGCATATGTAGTGATTAGGAAGTCATTTTTATTTCATTGATTTTTCTTATTAAGTGAAATAATGGTATCAGTAGAGAGCAAACATTTTAATAAACGATCGTCAAACATTTGGTGGTCGCAATGAGTGAGTACGTGTTGTATGATAAAGACTGCGCTAATGACTAATGCTCTAAAGACCACGAACTTCGTTTTAGGGAATATACAGAGGACGCATAACGAATATCATTCATTGACTTACAAATGTAATGAGAAGTAATTATTGGTCCAGCGTATTCTGGCGGCCACCTTTTGATGATGCCAGCTACAGTTTATACATACATATTTAATAATAAAAAAGTAGAATTATTCAAGATATTTTTGTTATTTTATGTATTATTTCTTTTTTTATCGAGGTAACGATGACTAATTCAACTAAACTTTTCTAAAATGTTTAAATTTTAATGTAGATTGCGTAAGATTTTTTAATTTTATTAATTATTTTAAATTTCAGTTGTGAATGCTTATGAACTATAATTCTCTTTGCATTTGCTTCTCATGTGTTGTGTTTGATCACATCACCACTTTATCGCTGGATCATTGGCCAAGCCATATTCAATTCTAATTGAACGCATGAGACGAAAAGCGGATTAACAAATAAATAAATAAATAGTGAATCAATAATTGAGATTTAAATTTTCATTGGTTAAATAAAATTTTATTTAAAGCGGAATTAGAAAAGAATACTCACCGCTGGGCTGGCACCACGTCCAACTGATCCTGCACGTCCCTTAGCGCGGAATTTGCTGATAGCCTGTTCGGCCAAGTCAGCACGCTCCTCAGCTTCTTCGAGTTCTTGCTGTGCCTTGCGGAATTTGGCCAAGTTAAGGGCAGCAATTTCTTCGGCTTCCTCGATTTGCCTCTTGTAGGTCTTGATCTTTTGTTGCAGTTTATCTACCAAGTCTTGCATACGTTCGTGATTCTTACGATCTTCCTCAGATTGGAAGCTCAATTCCTTGATACGACGTTCAGATTTACGCAGATTCTTTTGGGCATCAGCATGTCTTCTCTGTTCACCGTCCAATTCGTTTTCTAACTCGCGAACACGTTGTTCCAATTTTTGGATAGCCTTCTTGCCACCCTTCAGTGCGTTAGCTTCAGCTTCATCCAAACGGACTTGCAATTCCTTGATTTGTTGCTCCAAGGCCTTGCGCAGTTTCTCTTGGGTCTGAGCATGATCTTGTTCAGCGCGGAGTTCATCAGCAAGGCGGGCAGCATCAACCATAGCCTTCTTGGCTTTCTCTTCAGAGTTCTTGGCTTCATTTAACAATTCGTCTAAATCGGAGTGGAGTGTTTGTAGTTCAGATTCCAATTTCCTCTTAGCCGCTGAGATAGAAGCATTCTGGGCGGAAACTTCATTAAGTTGTTCATGGGCATCGGCCAATTCTTGTTCGGCTTGGCGACGACCACGATCGGCTTGCTCAAGCAGAGTGCGAGATTCCTCTAGTTCGTTCTGAAGGGCATTGGCACGGCGTTCGGAGATACCCAATTGTTCGCGAGCATCATCGCGGGCTCTCTGTTCTTCTTCAAGGGCCGTTTGAATATCTTTAAGCTGTTGTTGGTAACGTTTTATGTTCTTCTGGGCCTCGGCGTTAGCCTAAATTATTATTAAAGTATATATAATTCAACAGTTTATTATTGAAGCCTTTTTACCGGTATTTGTATATACCATACCTTGTTAGCATGATCCAGGGCAATTTCCAGCTCATTAATATCGGCTTCCAACTTCTTTTTCATGCGTAGCGCCTCAGCCTTACCCTTTGCTTCGGCTTCAAGAGAGGCTTGCATGGAATCGAGAGCGCGTTGATGGTTTTTCCGGGTGTTTTCGAATTCTTCTTCCTTCTCTTGAATGCGGCGGTCGATTTCTTGACGCACCTGTGATAATTCCAATTGTGCGCGCAAAACCTTGTTTTCTTCCTGTTCCAGCGCGGCCTCGGCTTCCTCTAATGCAGCTTGAAGTTCATCCTTTTCAGCTTCCAAGCGTTTGCGTGCCTTTTCGATTTCGTGAATGTTACGGCCACCTTCGCCGATTTGGTCTAGGAGATCCTTAACCTCATCAGCAAGATTCTTGTTTTCACGACGAACGGCTTCCAACTGTTCTTGTCCTTCTTCGTAGGCACCCTTGAGACGGAACAATTCGGTGGAATAGTTACGGCATTCCTTTTGTGAAGCATCCAATTCAGCAGCCAAGTCATCAACCTTAAGTTTCCATTCGCCAATAATCTTATCAAATGCCTTCTGTTTCTTTTCGGCAGCATTGGCAATAGCGTTGGCACGATCGACTTCCAATTGCAAATCTTCTACTTCAGTAGCCAAGCGTTGCTTAGTCTTCTCGAGACCAATGCATTTCTGATTGAGAGATTCAATGGTTTCCTCAGCCTCAGCCAAGCGAGCTTGCAATTTCCTCTTAGCTTCTTCTAATTCTTCAGAACGAGCAACACCATCCGATTCGTATTTACTACGCCATACTTGTGCCTCAGCGTTGGCTTTGCTGAGTTGACGTTGCAAATCAGCTTTGCCCTCGGCTTCCTCTTCTACCTGCTCACGCAGATTGTCCAGGTCGTGTTCCAAGTTTCGGAACTTGCCCAAGAGGGTAGCGCGTTCGCGAGATTCTTCGTCAGCCAAACGTTTAGTATCTTCCAATTGGGTGGTCAGGGATATCTTGATTTTGGACAATTGTGACACCTGCGATTCTGCTTCCTCAAGTTGACGCAACAGATCGGAGTTTTCGATCGACAGCTTCTTCTTGGARGCATCGAAATCATTGAGGGTTCGGTTGGTTTCGTCCAATTTACCTTGAACTTCATTCAAGGTGTGTTGTAATTGCTTAGCAATCTTTTCTTGGGCAGCCTAAATAATGAACAAAAATATGTTATGCTCAACTCAATGGATGGAAGTTATAAAGTCATAAAATATTTAGTATATACAAAAAATAGTGACGTTTTGTGTGTACTGTACAATTAGTAGCGGTGCATTTATTATCAAAGAAAAGTTAGAGTGATAGATATTTAAGGTTTCAGGCGAAATCTAAAAAACAAGCTTGTCAATGCTTCATTTAACGACCGGCGCTGCTTAAGAAGCTTTATCCTCAATACTGTTTTTTACTTCAAATTTGCTATTCTTTGCGCACAGCAGAGAATGGATAGATATGTATGTCACTTAATCCTTGAGTGTATATTCTTTAATAGCTAAAATACATTTAATGTAAGAAGCAAAACTACAGAAAATATACAATCGATAATTTCAGCATAGTTACAGCAGCAGCAATGCGTAAACAAAATCTTTGAATACATAAAATAGCTTTATTCTGTATACCTTCTCGTTGGTAAGGTGGTCGACACCAGCGCGGAGATCGTTCAATTGAGCGTAGTATTCGTTCTTCTCCTTTTCAGCCCTTGATTATGTGAATAATAAAGTAGAGTTGGATATGGTTAATGTTGTGTTAAATTATGCATGGAGATTTGACTTAAAGAGATACATAAAGAACCAAGAAAGTATATTGCTTTGGTAGAAAATGATATGCGATACTAACAGCAGTAAAAGTGCTGCAGAAGACCTTCAATTGGAATTGATTGTGTCTTAAACCTTCTACAAAACACCGCAGAAATATTTAAATTTATTATTCGAATTTTACAAATGTTAGATTTTTTGCGGGTATCTGGGTCTATATATATGTGTGTAAATGTTGTTGAGGGTAATTGTGGGGATAGTACAGTAATCGGAGAGTAGTGCCCAAATGGCTTGAAGTACTTTTACGACACATTACCTTATCGCGAGCCAGTTGATCGCAGGCGGAACGAGTTTGATTTAACTCATTGTGGCAAGTCTGGCGATCGTGTTCAGCCCTGTTATCATTATAAAAAATATTTAATTAATAATAAATGTTACGAAACTTGACTCTTGATCCAATAGAAGATTTGCACGGACGTTCAACATTTATGCAAAAAACATAACAAAGGTAACATTATATATGAGAATCCTGAAAATGTATCTCGAAATCATAATCTACACTAAAATTTACTTACTTAGCCTTCAGTTTGTTTAGCTGATCAACTTGTTCGGCCATTTCAGCGACAGCATCGTTGTGCTTCTTGCGCAAGTTGGCCAAAGTGGACTCGTGCTGAATGTTGGCTTCCTCCAAATCACGACGCAATTTGCTGAGTTCGGCTTCGCGTTTCTTATTGAGCTCAATTTGGGCTGATGTGGCACCACCGGCTTCTTCCAAGCGCTCTCCCAATTCCTCCAATTCACGAGCCAAATCAGCGCGTTGCTTTTCAGCTTTAGCGCGGGCTTGACGTTCAGCTTCAACTTCTTCTTCCAACTCTTCGATGCGGGCTTGTAATTCCTTAATTTGACGTTGATGTTTACCAACACCAACCTGTTCATCTTCCAGTTTGGCGGTAATTGAAGACAATTCTTTGTCCTTGCGTTGAATGGTCTGTTCCAGTTCCTTTTTGTTGCGCTCCAAATCGGATACGGCTTCCTGGGTAAGTTTCAAATCTCCCTCAACCTTGCGTTTAGCCTTTTCAACATCTCCACGTAGTTTCTTCTCACGTTCCAATGAATCTTCCAATTCATCAAGAGTCTGTTCGAGTTTAGCCTTAACCTTGTTCAAGTGATTGATTTTGTCTTCAGCAGCTTGGAGTTCCTCGCCAGTCTTCTGGTTTGTCTCACCCTGCATCTTCTTCTCCTTGTTCAACTTATTGATGAGTTCATCTTGGTGGGCGATCTCATCATTCAAGTTACGAATTTGGTGATCCTTAGTAGCCTTATCTTGTTCGGCCTTCTGAACACTCAATTCGAGATCTTCAATGTCCTTCTTTAGGCCAGAGATTTCTTGATCAGCCTTTTTCTTTTGTTGGAACAATTGGTTACGGGCATCCTCTTCTTGGCTCAAACGATCTTGGATATCCTATTAAGAATTTATAATGTGTTGAAAACAAAGTAAAAAATTAATAGCTATTATTTTTTTTAACAGAAACAGCATATGTATGCTGTGGTTATAATTTTACTGGCAACTCTTGATGTATTTTTCAAAAAAAGCGTAGGTAGGTAGGTAGGCAAAACACATAAATTTGTCAATTTATCACATTACAATAATTATTATTAAAATTGAAATTGCTTCTAAAATTTGAGCAAATACACGAGAAAAGTATAGTAATATAAAATGGCAAAATTATTCCTTGATTCACGTTTTGATCTGATGCGGCAAAGAAATATTAATTTTTAGTTTTTTTTTATTGATTTGTAATTTGCCTTTGATAATGGTGCTTTGATTGCCGCGCTTAATAAATGGCGGCTTCACATATGTATCCTTTACGAACTAAAATTAAATTTACTATTATAATTAAGATGGAAGCTTAGAAATTGGGTTAATATTCTAACATTACCTATTTGAAATCTATATTTATATTTTTTAATTTGTGTTAAATTACTAAACGAATTAGTTACTTCAGGGTAAAATATTTCAAATATGGATATTATTGATTTTGAGTTTTGTCATCAATAAGTGAAACTATTTTACTTACACGCAATTGGTTCTCGAGATCGTTCTTTTGGGCAGTCAATTTAGCGTTTCTCTCCTGGAAATCCTGCAATTGACCCTTCTCCCCGGACAGCGAGTCCAAAAGGGCAGTCTTTTCAGCCAATAGCTTAGCATTGAGGGCTTCCAATTCCTTKCGTACTTTCACTTCAGCAGCATGCAATTCTTCAGCCTTCTTAGCCTTCTCTTCTAGACGCTGTAATTCAAATGAATCAAAAGGAATTGAGAGTGTTTTAATGTCGGGTGTTAAATTTCCGTTATCTTGGGTTGCAGAAGAAGATGGTGAAGTGACGGCGTTAATAACTACATCTTCAATCGGTGCAGAAATGGAAGAGATTTCGTGTGTAGCCTCAGTCACAGCCACAGTAGGCTGACAATTTAAATTGGCTCCTACATCATGTTCAACGGGTGATACTTCGGCATTAGCCGCCTCTGCTTCACCAGTGTTGGCAGGAGGAGTGATCGGCTTCTTAGACTTCTTTACCTTTTTTTCATCAGCCATAGTATAAACAGGTACTTAAAGTGGATTTTCTACAATGTAACTCAAGAAGTAGATTGTCGAAGAATAATTGCTTAGCAATAACACAATCGTAATAATAGTGTAATCGTAAAAATTTTAAACAACAGTTATTTCGCATGAGCTACCAGATATTATAGCTTTCAATTTGTTAAATGGGGTACAAAAGTTTCCACTTGTTATCTCGTTCTATCATTTGTCTCAAAAGTCTCGTTTACCACAAATATTATTGTATTATAATTAATTCGTTATTAAACTTTCACTTAAATTTATCTAAATGTTTGAAATTCCAAAAAAAGCTTTGGATTCGATATGATTTCGTTGTGCTCAGCGAGTGAACTGAATAGTGCCACGACGTGTTTAGACAACTAGGTCCGACTAGCTACTGGTTAATGGCTGGAATGATGATAAGTGCAGCACCAATGAGCAATCCGGCATGAGCTCACATAAGAAATTATTTCAATTCGATTATAATTTCAGCTACCTATGAGTACATTCCTAAAAAATACATTCATACGTAGATACTATTTATTCATGCTGACTGATTTTTGTAAACGTATGTGTTTGGGTAAATAAATTTAGCAACGCCCCGAATATGATCGAATCGAAGATATTGCGAACGGCTGGTTTTCTACACACTAATAAATCTGATATTTATGCACCGCAACGGTAATATTAACATGATCGCAAATATACAAACATCGGCAAGGGTGGTATTCATAGTTTTTTGTTTGATTTCCCGTAAAAGTCACGCTAGAGAGGCACTGAGAAATTAATACATGTGCAACCATCAATGATATGGCACAGGTGTTGTGCAGCAAAAATCGTGCACCATGCAAATTTAGGTTTAGAGATGTATGTAGGTAGATGTGTTGCTTTGAATATTATTTATTATTGCTGCTGCCGCATCGCTCTTTTGGGCGTCTTAGCCAAGATGACAAACAACTCCTCAGTTAGTCGCCTGCTTGTTTCATTATGCCAATATACATAAGTTGGCTAAATGATTTTGATGAGAATTCAATTAGAACGCCTATTAATAAACTTTCTAAAATAAAAATTCAATTGCCTTTTTTCTTATTCCATATTTCATTAATCATGCTAATGATGAGTTGAGTGAGTTGAGACTTTTACAGCTGCCGCAGCTGCTGATTGTGTTGAGCGCCTAGATGTTAGGACATTTAAGTATCGAAAAATGTATTCCGAACAATACCAATAAAAATGCACAAATTTTTACATATAACATTTTCAATAAATTTGTTCGAGTATATGCATATGTTAACGGCACATGCATACGTATTTATTTTCGCTGGTATTTGTGTACACATTTCAATTATTACGAATAATTTTTTGTGACAGTGAAAATAAAGATGCAAACAATAMTATGCCAAAGCATGTCTTGTACGGGAGGACAATAATTGTAAGAAAATATATGCATGTGCAGATGTTCGTACACAATAGTGGATAAAAATGGTCAAGTGTTTCATGTGCACATGCATTGGCAAATACATAGGCATCACAGAGAAATTATGTATACGAGAAATTTGATGCTACTAAATATATCTACTTGTTGTTGAAATCAGTCATTTCTCATAAACTCATAAATTAATACAAGTAGGCAAAATGTTTTCAATTCTTCAACAAACAATTTGGTACACTGGGACGTATGAGTAACACCTATTASAAACGTACTATGTACATGTGGCATGTGATAGCCATTTATATCAAGCACTTACAGATTTGATGGGCGGCTGTTTATTCTCTTTTATATTGCTAGATTTACGAAGTCAAAATACATATAGTACATATGGCCTAAACATATGCCTGCATGCAATTATAAAATTGAATCATGTATGGAAATACATGAGCGCTAATTATGTGAACACACTTGCCAACATTGTCAGAAATGAAACCAAAAGGCCAAACGTTCTACAAAAGAAAAAAGAAATAGAGAAGGAAGTCGACAAGTCATTAGATCGTATTTTTAGATGCCTTTTTTGCTACTTTTTTATGGCACTATTAAGTGGCGCACACATGAATTGCTGCCATAGACAAGAGTGATCAATTCCGACAGGTGCAAAGACAGCAACATGAAAAATCTATATTTTCATATTTATACATTGACGCAAAACTAAATCCGTTCTATAAATAAGCACTGCCTTGCTATCCTCCGCCTCTATTTACGCAGTTATTAACTGTGAATTTAACACCGTCACCTGGATCTTCTGCTACTCCATTATCTGCTATAATTATGRTTTTTTTGTTTTTACTTACAGCAATCTCATCCTCAACGCGGGTAACGTTGAGTAGAGGCTTGATCTTCTGCCACAATTTGTACCATGGCCATGTGCGGAGTTGAAGGTATTTGCGCAAGTTGCGTTGTACAACTTTGAGGGCCAAGCGTTGTTCTTGCAATTTCTTGAAGTTCCTACGGGCCAAGTAACCACGAGCCCATCCTTGCATCCATGACATGATTTTGCCGAGACGCTCATCACGGAATTCTTCCATCTGACCCAAGACACCAGCGCGGAAGAACACCTATTGTTTAGAATTTTCGATTGGAGTGGGGAAATGAAAATGTGATTAGTATAATTGTATCTTTTGTTTATCGTTTTATGCCACATAAGTCGCGGTAGACTTGAGCTGAACTGAAAGAAGGTCTTTGGAGCCATTTGAACTTTATTATTTTTAATTCATGGCAGAAATTTTTCTTTTAATGTAAATTAATTTAATTGACAGACAAAATAGTTTTTTTTTTCAGTATATTTGTATAGATACAAATATATTTATATACATATATTTCTAAACAGTCTATATGGTTACCTACAAGTATTCCATGCAACATTCTCTCAGTTCACCACTATTGTATTGTTTTTAAAAAGCGTTTACATATAAACGTATAAAATATATACATACATGTTTATATCTTTGATTTCAAGTAATATTGGAATTAAATGAGCAAAGCATGGAAATGAAAACAGAACAACGAGCGACTTTTGGAATAACAGCGTGGTTTATAAAGCATTAGATGAGTGAAAATATACATTGATGACGACTAGAAGACCGCAAATATTTACATATTTAAAAATGAAATTGAATGCAGTGAAATTCAGTTGAAACCACATTGCTGCTTGTGATATACGTACATAATGAATGATATCTCTCAGAAGATACTTGTTGAACAATGATGTTCAGTTAATAATGAAATTTGCATACAAAATATATTTTGTTAATTTATTTGTGGAAATGACTATGAATGTTAGTGGTGTAACAAGTTTACTGGACAAGTGTAAGGATACTAACMAATACAAAGTATTATTTTAATAATTTCATTTGTAACTTTTTGGTTGGGTTTATACATAATTGAAAAACACAATTCTGTTAAGGTTTAGTTTCATTTGCTTATTAAAAATTATGTTTATAATTTTGTACATTTTGACAAGAGACAAATTATTTAGACGCTTTATTACTGCATTGTTTGTTGTATTTTTCATTAATGTTTTAAGGTACCTTGGTGTTACCCATACGATATTGATCTTCTGGCAAGTCAATGTATTTAATAATGATTTCAGTGGCCTTCTTATCTTTCTCTACGCCAATCAAAAGTTTCGGGCACATGATCTTGTAGCTATACGAGCATTTGTAGGTAGGAGGATATGTATGTATGTGTGATAGTGCAATTTTGTTGTGTGTAGATAAATTGATGTCGCGATAGTTGTTTGGTTTGATCGGTGGTGGCAATTTAGATTGGATATTGTTGTTTTATTTTTAATTGGTGATTTTGGTGATGTGAAAACATGAGAATTCAATTAAAATATTAATAATTTTATAACTGCTTAATTTATTCCAAAAAAAAAAAAGTATGTAAAAGGTAAGTCGATTTAAATTTAGTAGCATTTTCATAAAATAAGTTGTGCACCTAAATAAATATATATATTCTTCTACCAAAGCATTGTATATTGAATTAAAATAAATATGTTGAAAGTAGTAATTTAATAAATTAATTGAATGTATAAAAACCCTACACATAATTTCGAAAAATATTATGATCATTATTTTCTTAACATTTAATTATTATCCCAATCATGAGGTAATTGATTTTGTGGTAAATGGATGTCGGGCTCATATAGGCTAATATATATATGTATATATATATCTGATACATTTGTACTTCATAAAATACGAGTATGCAAGTTAGTGTATATGCATATATGTTTAAGATATATGAAATGACTAGATATTGAATATTGTTTGCATGCTACCGATGTACTTTAAAGCGACGGACATGCTTATTTCGGGAAAATATCAACTACRTACTACTAGCAATAAATAATAGAACTAATAACAACGCTAATGAGAACATGCTGAACTCTTATAGCGTATATTGGGTATTTTGGATGTGTGTATTGAGGAACATGCTTTATGTGTATGGGTATGCTGAGGGACTTCCATAGGCCTCACTAGCATATATTAAAATGCGTACGTATGTATGTGAAGTAATCTCTGCAATTATACTAATTATTTTGGTAAATTCAGAGTTTACTGTATGTAATGTGGATGCTTCGGATTTGCAAAAGCCTGTACCAACAATATGTGAATTTGATAATGTAACTATATATGTATTTATACTTATGCGGAATTGTGTGGCACTTTGTTTTTATTTTTTGTGAAAAATTAGATTCGTGCCTTAGTGTTACCCAAACGGTATTGATCTTCATCTAATTCAGTAGATTCGATCAGAATCTTACTGGCTTTTTTGGGATCTTCCAAGTCTTTGATGCCTCTTGGGTTCAGGATTTGGTAGCTGTTGGTATGTATACATGTGTAGTTGTAGTGGATATTGGAAATTGTTAATTTTTTGTTTAAGGTTCATTTTAAATGTCAGGATTAAAAGTATGTATGAAATTCAAATTAAATTTTAGTAGAAAAGAAGTAAAAAATTATATAAAGGATATATTTATACGTTATTTAAAAAATAAAATATATGGAAAATTATAAAAGGCCATCATAGAATTATAAATAATTTAATGAAAAGTAGTTGGCATTGTATTCATTAATGCATTCAATGGTGATGAAGATTGAACTCATTATGAAGGAATCTCAAAATTAAATTTTAAATTTTTGAGATGAGTTTTTGCACATTCCTTGGAATATATGGGATTCTTGTGTTTGTATATCCATACATGCTTAATATTGCTTTTAAATATGAAAACAAACTATTAACTGAAAAATGTAATAAGAAACATATGTTGTTTAAACATTTAAATGTAAATACAGTTTGTGGCGCATTCTTGAGAAAAAATGAAGAACCATGCCTTTGTATGACCAAGACGATATAGATCTGGATCAAGAGCTGTGGATTCAATAAGAATTTTAGAACATTTTTTCGGATCTTCCATTCCGCTAATGTCCTTTGGATTCAAAATTTGATATCTGCGTTGGGGGAAGATTTGTTGAAACAAAAACAAACAAAATTTAAGTATATTTGAAGTATTTTTTGTTGTATAGTGTACTGCTGTTATATTGTTTTGTAAATATTGTGTGTCGTGGGAGTGGATCATATATGTAAATTTCCATTTTGTATTGAAATAGTACATGTCAATTAAAATCAAATTAACACAAGTAAAGAGTAATAAAATTTTGGATGTCTTATGTATAAAATATGTTTATATCTACAAGGAATATCAATGCGTGAGTCACAAATGCAAAGGCGTCTAATGCCAATTAGTGTAAGCTTATCATATCATTTCGAACTTCATAACAGTAACTCTATTATGGTAAATTGCATATATTTAAATTTTTGTTTCATTCATGCCTTTGTGTGACCCAGCCGATAAAGATCTTCATCCAACCCCGTGCTCTCAATAAGAATCTTTGAGGCCTTTTTGTCGTCAGACACTTCCTTAATTCCACGGGGATTAAGGATTTGATACCTGCGAAAGTAGTAGTGTTTATTTTAAATAGCAATCTAAATAAAATTTATACTGTCCATACGATGTATAGGAAATCCTGACAATATGTATGTATATAAATTTTTTCTGTACCTCTGGTAGATAATTAAATAYGAGGCAAATATTGAACAAGAAAATCCAATATGAAATAATTGATAATGTCAACGCTATATTGAATGTGGTGTAATATCTTAAAAGATTGTATATGTTTTCAGAAAGTGTTCAAGTTTACTCAATACAAAATTCAGGGAGAATCAAGTTAAAAAAAAATGCATCATGCTATTCGGTCTATACAGTCTTATAATAATACATACATATATAAGGGTAATTCAATTTCTGAAATATGTATTTATAAAAAATGTTTGGAAAAATCTTTCAAACAACACAATAAATATTATGCGATTACTACTATGAAGGTCTACCAATAACGAATATTATCTATTTATATAGGTCTACATTATGTAATATATATGTATATAGGCGTAGGATGTATAGGGTCTAAACAATCAATGATCTGTCAAAGGATATATTCAAATTTAAAATATCACTGAACAAAAGTATAACATTATAAAATAATAAACGTTTATTGATTATCTTGGGGGCAATTGGTAAATTAAACATTTCACTAGATAAGTACATATGTATATTAAATATGAATTGGATATGTATAAAGTGTACTACAAGTATTTTTTGGGGTAAATAATAATACTTATATAGCTCATTGCTACCAAATGAGAAATACAAAGAATAATATGTGTGTACAACAATACCATAAGTCATTAAACTTTCGTGCAATACTGATGGGCTGGTGAAGTTTTCATTTATAGAGACGAAGAGATCGAGAGAGARAACGCAACGCAAATGGGATTGTAATACAGAAAATGACATGTATAGAGGGAAATAAATCTGGTGTATTAAAATCTACATTAGGTCGCACTATAAACGCTTTTTATGAGTAAGGGAAGTATAAAAACAGATAATTTAAATTAGCCGCCTGCCTTAGTATGACCAATACGGTACATGTCGGGATCCAATCCCACAGATTCCAAACACTTTGCAGCTGCATTCTTGGGTTGTTTCTCAGCGGCCATGATGGCTGGAGCCAAGATCATGTAACTAATTTCGGTAATTTTTGTATTCAGGTGCAAAGACAATAGGTACAAAAAATAGACAATATTTAATTAAAATAATAAATACTGGCTTTAAATTATTTATAATTTGTTTCTTAAGGTTGTATTTCAGTCACATCTATAACTTCTAGTATTGACTAATATAAAACATACCTGTTTATAATATTGAAATTTATTCATTGTTGTATAATAAGTATATAATAGAAAGGTTGATAGTGTATAATGTAATGTGGCTATTATATTAAAAAAAAAACTTACCGCATCTTGAAATCAGAGTACACCATTCTGTTGGGGAAACCTTTGCGGCAAATACGGATACCTTCAAGTACACCGTTACATGTCAATTGGTGCATAACCAAGTGAGCATCTACAACACCAGGTTGTTTCATTTCGTTAGGAATGATGCAACGCACGAAGTGAGGTTGTGTTGAACGCAAAGTGGTCATTAAGCTGTTCAACTGTTCCCTGTAAGCCGAAGAAACAGTAGCAAAGCCACCACCCTTCTTACCCCGACCGCCCTTTGCTTGTTCAGCGCCACCAGATTGACCTGGATGATCAGCGAAGATTTCGACCAACAACTTGTTCTGAGACTTCTTGAATTGATCGACCACAGTATCGTTCAATGGATCCTTGTTCTTTTCCAACCAACCGGTGATGTTATAAGAGACAACACCAGCATAATGTCCAATAGCGAAGTGGGCAGCTTGTTGGCCAGGCTTTGGTGGTTTCGGCTTCTGGAATGGTGCCGATTTGCCCAAGTGAGTGTTAACTAATTTGTCGGCGAATGTTTGATCGGTAGCCTTGGGGAACATAGACTCTTCTTCAAGGATGGATAAGATACCCATAGGCTATTTTATAATCGAAAGGAATGTAAAAAGGTAAATAAAAGAACAAAATTAGACTATATTATACAAAATGAAAAGAAAATTCGACAAAAAACATTTGGCATCATGTACAAAATTAGCGTGCGATTTTTACACTAGAATTACTATGAAGACTACCACCTGCAATAGTGCAGTAAAGTAAATATAAAATTATGCGTACAAAATATAACACAGCTACAGCCAATGCAACGCTTACCTTGCTTTAACATCAAATTTATTCCTATTATATACAGTTTTGGTTTAGCACTCTTTACTAATTGTACTGCAAGTTTCTCAAACAATTATAATTACTACTATTAACAAATAACAAGCACAAGTTTAGCTATGTACACTTCCATCGTTATTTGAGCATTTGACTTATGTATGGTTCATCTTCTTGCCACTATTGCTAATTGTTATTTTTAAGTAACAAATGAATACTTTAATTTACGACTATTTACTGCCTTATATTTACATAGCAAACCGTTTCGGAATCCCACTACTACATTTTAATTAAATAAAAAATTCCTTCAGTATGAAAATGTTATTAATATAGGTAAGGGTCAATTTATGAAAGTATGGAGGTATATTAGGTACAAGAAACTAAAGAAATGGGTAGGTAAAACATATACAATGGCAATGAAAATCAAAAAGTGTTATTAATATTGTTGCTTTAGTTGTACGAGTCTTCTTTAAGAATACCAATATTGATATCATTAATATACGAGTTGAAAATATCCATATTAATGTTCAAAAGTGGCTAAAGGAACACTATTCTTTTGATAYAATATTTTGACGAAGCGATTGATTTTCTTTTTATTGACTAATTGTTGTTTTACTATGCGAAGCCTGTAGCGAAGCAATAATTGCATTAGAAATTTCTTTTTTGTACTAAATTTTCAGCGCCAATACCTTCTCAATCAATTCAATACACATCTGCAAATCCATTCCGAAATCGATGAAAGTCCACTCAATGCCTTCGCGTTGGTATTCTTCTTGTTCCAAAACAAACATGTGATGGTTGAAGAATTGTTGCAGTTTTTCGTTAGTGAAATTGATACACAATTGTTCGAAACCGTTGTACTGTATATGAGAGGAGAATGTAACACAACAACAAAACATGGTAAATGTTAGGTTAAAAGGGTATAAATGTTAATGTTCCATAGTTAATTACGTCGAATTTATGCAGGATTAGTGCAGGTCAAGGGTGGAAGGATACTCCTTCATAGATGCACATAATTCCAAAAAGTGATGGAGTGAGAAGGGAACACGTGCAATACAAATAGATTTCATTTAGTGCCTTTGTAATACTGGTTGTAATATGAATACTTAGTGTTGAAATCAAATGCTCACTTTACCGTCATTTACCTCAAAGTATACATTTTTCCCAATACCTAAAATACTTATTGGTTTAGACTCTACGTATAGAATTAAAAAATATTTTTTCCAAATATATAATATATGCTTGTAAACTTTTCATTTTATATCTCATTGCTGCTCTATTGATTCGCTATCAAAACCAACCTTTTCAATCATCTCAATACATGCCAGCAAATCCATCCCAAAATCGATGAACGCCCAATCAATGCCTTCTTTCTTGTATTCTTCTTGTTCCAATACGAACATGTGATGATTAAAGAATTGTTGTAATTTCTCATTTGTGAAATTGATACACAATTGTTCAAAGCCATTGTACTAATGGACGTAGTGGCGATAGTTGGTGATTCATGGTAATAATTTACATGATTATTAATATTATATATAGATATTGGGGATACATATGGATAAAACAAATAATTAAGTATACCATTGAATAGTGGGAAATATCTAATTGTGCGAGTATTCTTGAAATCATGAATTCAGATAATTGTGCATATTTTAAAGTACAACGTGTTATAGTTATGATAATTTAATACTTGTTTTGAACTTCAACATCACATACTTGGACTATATAATGCATACCAGTACCTGTTTCATTAGATAATTGATTTTAACAAATAAAAAAAGTTTTGACATTTCAGACAGCGTATTGATAAGAACAGAACAAAGTGACTAGCTTGCAACGGTTTCACAAAGAACATATTTACATACAAATGTCTTCATGTTATCATTAGATTTCAATAAGCACCTTTTCGATGAGATCGATACAAGCTAGCAAATCCATACCGAAATCGATAAAGTCCCAATTGATACCCTCGCGTTTATATTCTTCTTGTTCCAAAACAAACATGTGATGGTTAAAGAATTGTTGTAATTTTTCATTGGTGAAGTTGATACACAATTGTTCGAAACCATTGTACTATATTGAAGTAATACATGGATAAGAGTTGAATTTTGCTCTCGTTCAGTAAACAAGATTATAATTAACTGGTAGGGAGGTAGTGAGTACGGAATTATATGTGTCTACGCTAAATAGTACTATAAGGTTCAACATAGTGATAAAATTGAAGGTTAAAGAGCTAGTGTATTTGAAATAAATTCGTGTTCCTATGATTGTCCATTTCATTTTCATTTGTTTCGAGGTCATGTCTTCGTCCAAAAGGAGTGTTAGTGTATTATAAGCACTATTGCTCTAACCAAGTAAACTTTTGAAAAGCATACTCAGCAACAAGCAAATAACTAGAGTGCAAGATTCATGCGAGATTTTCAAATAAATATATCTCATATGGACCGTACATAATAGTTGTGCCTCTTATTAGTATGTTTACGGAGGACCGTGTCATACTTACGTCGAAAATTTCAAAACCAGCAATATCCAGTACACCAATRAAGTGCTGACGTTTTTGTTGAGTATCCAGAGTTTCGTTACATTTCTTAACCAGCCATTTGAAGAGACGATCGAATACACCTTTGCAGAGAGCACCAATGGAGTTGGTGACCTGTTGCACGTTACGGCCTTGAGTAACGAATTCGTTACCGACCTTGATACGGGGTTTCAACAAGTTCTTGTAAAGTTCAGCGGTGTCACAACCGAACAATTTAGCCACACGACCACCTTCTTCTTCACCATCTTGTTCAGCCTGCTCTTCGCGACCACGTTGCTTGAACTTCATACCACCCATGTGCATGACAGCGGCGGTGATTTTGTAGACATCCTGTTTCTCTTGAGCGGTGAAACCCAATATATCAAAGGCTTGCTAAATGCCGCAATAAGGTTGAAAACTATTAGTTTCAATTTGTAATTGATTTTATTTGTGAATAAATGTTATAAGTGTTATTTATTGAGTGTTTTTTGCAGTTTAAGGTGTTTGAAAGCAAGTATTTACGATATCTTTTTTGTACAGCTAAAGGTGTGTAAAATGTTTATATTTTCTACAATATATTTTTTATCCATCAATATTAAAGAACACAAACGGCATGCAAAGCAAAAAACTATCAAACTACAATACAATAAATAAACAACAAAATAAAAATGTRTACATATTATATTCTGGAAAATTATACAAATAAATACATAAACACATAATCTTAGATTTCGTAGAAAGATTTATTCTTCAATGCTATTATTAGCAAATGGATACAAAAGTAAATCAAATCGCATTTCTCATTAATCAAATCATTTAGGTATATTTACTCATATTAAATCCGAACAATAAAAATATTTAAAAATAATAAGCTGAATCCGATCTTTCTTCAAAATCTATCATCATCTGATTAATTTTTAATTCTTTATATGAAGTAAGTAAATAAATTTCCTTAAGGAAAATCGAATTGAAGAAACGTTGGTGAAAGCGAGTAAGATATAAAAGTAAATAGATTCCGGAATTTTTGGAGAGCGTAGAACCATAAGCATAACCAGAACAATAAACTTCAACCAAAAACTCTTTTATAGGATGGAATAGGTAATAAACGTGCATTATGGTAAATAAAAAATAAACTTTTTTCTGTTGATAATTTTGTTCACTATATGTTTTCCATGGTTTTGTGGTTCAAGCGTGCTCAAATAAATAAATGCCATGAGCAGGCTTCCTTGCAAACCATAGATATGTATTCACACATATACGAAAATAMAATTTAGTAGAATATATGTAAATGTAAGTATAATAAATTTAATTATGTGGAGCCGAACTACTATTACATTTTATTGAATCACACAGYAAATAAATGACAAAAAGTTGATGCAACATTCCGTTTTCCTTTTAGAACAACACAACATGCCAATCATAACATAATGTATTTCAGAATTATGCTGACTAGCGTGCTGGCACTATTGTACTCTTAGATGGATTTTCGGCGTAGATTTTCGAGCACACCGACCGTAAACTCTTTACTCTTAGGTTTTTAATTTATGTGTGTGTGTAAAGACATTCCAAAAATGTTCATAGATGCAATATAATAACATAAAAAATAATGTACTTGGGTTTCAAAGTACAAAACGAGCAATCTAACGTAGAACAGTAAGTGTAGAAAAGAGCAGATTTAAGGAGTTTGGTAAAATTCAGAAACGCATATCAAAGAAAAGTAACTTAAGGTTCAGTTGGTGTTGTGGGTGTATATGTAAATACTAAAAGGTGGGTGGTAGTGATGGTATCTGTTGTACTTATAAGTACGGCATAATTATGGCAAGCGCCTCATTAATACACGCAGTATATAAGTTGTACTGGTGGCATGCGCACTTAGCTATGTTTGGTGGATTTGGCGTCTCTGCGTACATAAGTACCAAGTAACTATGCTAATTGGCTTGCTCTATGGCGGTTTTATATTTTCTGCGTTTCTATTTTATTTATTTTATTTTGTTTTGCTTTTCGTTGTTACGTTGAAAACTTACATCTGCCAGCTGGAATTCCTCACCGTCGTCCATGTTGGGTACAGTGACTTTACCCTGAGACACGTTATAGTAATCGTAAATATTATCAGATAAGAAGCAAACGTCTGCACAAGAGTCGAGAGAGAAAATTGTTTGTGGTATTTTTTGGATTATTCATTTTGCACATGACAATTTCAAAACTTATGAAAAACGGCAATGAGGGAATCGAAAAAGTCGAGTGTGTAGAGTGTGGTGGGAAATTTGATGTAGGAGAATAATGTTTTTTATTTCTCTACTATTTTCTGTAAAAATAATATGGTGTTGAAAATATAGATGTATCCTTTTTTATTATAAGTGGAATAGCCTGTAGAGCGAGCTATAAAATATTGACTTTTAACGGTTGCCGGTTTTCTTTTGTTTTACAATCGACAAGTTTATTAAAGCGCAAAACATACTAAACTGAATAAAACGAAACGCCGTTTTATAAAGCATTTTAAATATTTATTCTATTCTGTTTGTATATTCCACAAGTATTTCTGGTGCGTATCATATATAAAGCACTTATATGTATTAATATAATGCATTCAGTAGACGTATTTATTAATACCGTTGCGGGGAATATTTTAGTAAAAAGTTATTGTGCCGGTATCAAAACCACTGTACCAAGAATTTGAATTTAACTATTGTAACGCTGTTTAAAAATATTTATTAATTTCATTATTTCGATTCAATTGACTAATTCTCCCCGTTCTTGATATGTATCATATTGTCTATGCTCAATAGCCGTAATGCGTTAAAGGTGGTAAATGTTGTTATATCAAGCAGAGTCAAATCGTAAATAAATAAAATATTATTTTTGACAAGATGTTTTGTTTTGGACCATAAGTTAAGGCATTAACTGGGGACCAAATGCTACTAAAGGAACTACAACTACTAAGAAGAATAATAATTATTTCAGAGATAGAAATTCCGGAATAACATAGGAAATTAAATTTATTTACAATGAAACTGACATAGAATTTTGAGTAAATATATATTTTAAGTACTTCAGAGAGGCCAGCAATATGAAATCCATGTAGGTACAATAAATATTTAACTATAAAATTACTTTATATTAAATATTAATGCAAAATCTCGTTTATTTCTGTACAGCGAAATGACAGATAAGAAGTGGAAATAATAAAGAATACAAAACATTTGAAAATATATTTATAGAAACTATGTATAAAAGAGGTTTGCAGAAAAATAAATATACAGAAAGACATATTTATATGGATGATATAGAATTAAACAGTGCGAGAGTGAGATTTTGTTACATATCAAAATGGGAACGGGTAACCATTGAAAAGGCTCACACCAACTTACGTCAGTCAATTCAAATTCTTCGCCATCGTTGACACCGGCTATCCTTGTTTTACCCTGACATATTCCAGGATAATCACCAATATGGTTCGATAAATATGCCATCTCTAGCATTTGTTTACATACCGTTATTTGGTGCATAAAAAGTAACGATATACAATAAAACAGTTATGAGTGAACGAGACTGCATATATGTAAGTATGGCAAACTCAAGTGAGATATAGTAAGGAAACGGATTGTGCGTGACTGTTTTGGGTGCTGTTTAGGTACAAAGGTAACCCAAATGCTGCTTAGCCATTTGTAATGTTTCTTAATTAAATATTAATATGCATGAATACTGTGGGCTGACTTAAGCTACTTGTTAAGTTTATGGTTGACTGTAAAATAACTTTTYCTGTGTCCCTTAGAAGTCGTTGAAATTACTTAAGTATTAATTTGACATTTTTATGCCATGTTGAAATCATTTCTCATTTGATTAGAGAAACGTATATGTAAGATATATATATATATATATGTATGCGCATACGTAGAAACAAAATATTCCAACCCAGATTTATCGGTTTTTGCTAACTATAAAGATTTCAAGAAATAAATAGCTCTTTAAAAAAAATACCGTAATACTATTAAATATATTAAAATAACTTCATTATAAATATTAATTACAGTAGCTGCCCAAAGCACTTACACGAGAATTAAATGCAGCAGAGAAAGTGAATAAGAGTAACAACATAGAGTTCAAATATTGGAAACAAAAAAGAGTATTAAATGACATCTACAATATATCAGGTGGTGCTGGAAAGCGTTAACACTCGAGTTAAAATTTGAGACATTGTAATTACGAGTGAGTTTTTTACGTTTAACATTATGTTAAACATTAATTGATTACAATTATAAAATGATAAAAGAGAGAGGTAGTTATTAGACATCTGTTAAGTTTCTGTCCTCTTTCCAGTATACAGCGTCAATTAAGGATTAGACGTGTCGAAGGTATTTTTAGAAATTAAGAATGAATGACTTTATTATTATTTTCTTTTAAATTTTTTAATCTAGCTCTGAACAAATCAGCATTTTGGTTAAAATTTTGACTTTTAATTTCAAATTGATTATTGAGTAAATATTTTAGCAATATGTTAAATGACATTTACAAATATATTTAATATATTTATCTCATCGCTGTATCTTACGTCAACAATTTGATACTCTTCACCATCGTCGACGCTGGGTATGGTTGTTTTTCCTTGTGACACAATGCGGTAATCGTAAATATTGTTCGAGAGTATACAATATTCTGTTGTTGTAATGATGTGTACAAGTATTTGTGATGTGATCGTGATATGTGTATGTTTTTGTATATTATATGTAGTAAAAAAGGAAATAAAATTAAAATTAATTTGCGTGTAAAATGTAATAACGCGTAATATAGTATACCATTTGGGCAATCAATGTTGCGGTCAGTTACATAAGAAAACCGTAGATAGAAAAATTTGAATCAAGGAATTTTGAAAGCTACTGTGGGAGAGCAGCAAAAAGTGCCTACGAAGGCACAATAAAGCATTTGTACAATAATGCATTAAATAATAAACCTACAGACTTATAATACTCAAGGCAATGTCAAACTTGCGATACGACATGAACAGATATATGTATGTAACAATATATATAGAATGTGAATAATACTTTGGTTAATTAGTAAATTTAAAGATTTACATATGTAATATAGCGTTAATGGTAGTACGAATCGAAATAATTAGGGTAGTAATTAACGAAAGCATAATAATAAAAGTATTAGGAAATTACATCGGTCAATTGGAATTCTTCATTATCATCGATACTGGCGACTGTGACCTTGCCCTGAGAGACAATGTGGTAATCGTAGATGTTATTGGTCAACAGACAAGCGTCTGCGATTTTGAATGATATGGTATCATTGACAATTTGGGTTTGTATATTTTGTTTTTGATAAAAAAAAATGAAAAGGTAAGAATTTAATATTTTGGCAATATGTAATAATTATGTTTGTAAATAGTATGTGTGTTTGCATATGGTGTAAATTTAATTAATATTTATGTTTGGAGTGATTAGTGAATAATAAGGTGGGTACAGATGAATAAAAAAACTGGTGGTAATATTAAATATTTAATTTGTTATATATATGCCTATATATGTATATGTATGCATATGTATATATCTTAATGATATATATCAGTTTGTATGAAATATACTTTTAGCATTTCTTTTAAGTATTTGATATTATTTGTCTTTAAAAATGCTATTGAACTCGTTTGCTCTTGTAACTCGAATTAAAGAAACCTCTTTTAAAGTGGTTATGATATTCCAATTAGCGTATGACTTTTAATGATTGTTATTTCTTTGGATAGTTCTGAGATATTTTTTTATTCAAAATTTCAAAATTTGATTGTCTTACCTTTAACACCGGGGACGGAGCCAGACATAATCTGGTAGAAGATGTGGTATGAACGTTCCAAAGATTGCTGAGAGATTACACGAGCTTTCTCAAGCAAATCTGTTATGAATATAAAAATATAAATCAATGAATTGATTGAAAAATAGAAAAGTAAGCAAAAATAATAAACTCACAAGTCTCAATATCAGCACCAGCCAATTTACCGCTGGGGCCGAAGTGAATACGGATGAATTTACCCTAAAMATCGGCAAGTAAAGTTATTTATAAAAAAAGAGATGAGAAAAGAATTGTTGTGTGAGTATCAACTTTCACTTTGTTGTACTTAATACTCTAAACGAGCAACACTTACAAAACGAGAAGAGTTATCGTTTCGCACAGTCTTAGCGTTACCGAAAGCTTCCAGTACAGGGTTAGTTTGTACGACCTGATCTTCCAGAGAACCCTTGTTCTTTTGAGATTCATCCTTCTTTGTTGAGGCACCGACAGTGGCGAAGTACGCAATTACCTTCTTCGTGTTTTCAGTCTTACCAGCACCAGACTCACCAGTAATCAACATAGATTGATTGACGTGGTTGGTCAACATGTCGACGTAGGCACCGTCAGAAATGGCGAAAATATGTGGTGGCACTTCATTGCGGCGCTTGCCACGGTACATCTTAGCGCAGCGATTGGTATATACCGGGTAACGCTTGTAAGGATTGATGGCAACGCAGAAAAGACCGGAGTAGGTCTACAGTAGAGATCGTTTCGACACAAGTTGGAAAAATTAAAAATTGATACAAAATTTATTAATTTAAATAAATAAAATACGAAATTCGCTAACAAATTGGAGCATTCAATTTGAAATGTAAACTATAAGTTTTGGCTTTTCCGCCTTATAATAAATGGAATATATATGTATATATATATATATAAATATATCTATATAAATGGAATGTATAAATAAATGGAATATATATATACATACTGTCTCTTATACACATCTAGATGTGTATAAGAGACAGATATATATATATATATAACGCTGCATGGGCTATATTCTTCGGATCTCTAGTCAGAAATAAAAATTGCGTAAAATAGCCTAAACAACGTAATATGACACTTAAAAGTTTAAATATGACAATGTAGAAAGTGTAAACTAAATGTTAAAGTTATTTTTTTAAAATTTTTCGCATTCATTTTTGTAATTTGATTAAATGTCAACGCATTTGAGTGTTTTTGATGTGTTGGGGTGATTTCGTAAATTAATATGTTGGTTCGATTATAATATGTTTTATCATCATTGGTTTGGTACATGTAAATTTACCCAGCTCGAACGTGTATGATATTTGCATTGTGTTGACAAATGATGTTTCATTTATTGTTTGATGCAACTAGTACATGCATATTTATTAACATTCCGTTCTCTTCACAATGTGCGTTTTAATTTATGCCGTTGTTTTTTATCTCTGCGTTTATCAGGAAACATAAACGTTCTCCCTTCGACGCAAAAATGTGATGGGATTGGTGGTTGGTGGTTGGTGTTCTTGTGTATTATGCAATGGATTTGGAATTATAAAATATTCCATAAGTGAATGAGTTGTTTGCTTTTCGAATTATATTTAGATCTATTGGAAATGGATGTGTTTGTGGAAATGTTTATGACTATATATGCAATCTGAAGATTCCAAAAATTTACTTCAGTTTCAGTTTATCCTTTCAATGTAATGGTGTGGGTTTTATCGTGTAGATTTATTATGTTTTTTATGACTTTCCTTGATGAACTGGTGAAAAAAAATTGGCATTTGATTTTCATTTTTGATTAGTAAGTGGCGGTGTTAGCGCATACGACGGATATTGATGATAATGGAATAATAGTGATTAATGTATTAGTTTATTTAAACACAAATGTGGTATTGCGACTGCAATTAAAAGTAAATATTATGATTGTCATATATCATTTATAAAATTGGAAACATATTCAAAAGGCCTTATTAAATAACATTTCCAATTTACATTCATAAAGCTTTCCTACGAATCTTATATTTAGGATGCGTTGAAGATTCGAACTTTATTTTTCAAAATAAACTCAACTCCAAGTACTACACATATCAAAATAAATAGTTGAAGCAAGTACTTTTTCTCATATTTAACTGAAGGAGATTTACTTTTATCTTAATTAAATTTTATTATATCTTTATCATGTTTTTTTTTTCTTATTTAAAATATTTGCATAACAGTTTTTAATTGCTTAGCTATTAGTATTTCTGAAATAACTGTGCATTAGTTCGACACGAATAAGCATCTGAAGTTTTTCTAAATAAATTTAAATCGGCTGTCTGAAGGTTAATTCCTGTTTTTCATTTTGATAATTACTATGTGTTGTAAAAGTTGAACGGAATGAAGGTTTTAATGGTGTGGTAAAATTGTGTACAGTTTCACTATGGGTAAAGACAATTCAATATCGTACAATAACAAATACAATGACAATAAATGATAACATTCAAAGCAAACATTGCAGGGTTTGGTGGAACCCATTTCAATCGGTTCCAACCATACTCACGTAGATAAGTTTGTTGTAGTACCGCTGTCTCAAGTTATGCAGCACAGAAGCGTCGTTCAAATATGTCAAGTTAGACATATCCTCGGCCTTTTCGTATTTCGGAGGATTGACTTGTTGAAGCTGATCTTTCTTAAAGTCTTTGGACTTTTATTTTGTGCGTTACATTTCAAGCAGTTTTTATACATTGTATAATTTTTAATATAATTTTTATTTTTGAATTATGTACCCGATTTTATGTGTTTTTATATTATTTTCATTTTAAATTTAATTTTCGTAGTAATTTTTTTAAGTTTGTTTTCATTTGTATTTTGGGTAAGTAGGTATTTTACAATTACAGGACAGAGAGACGAAGAAAAAAAGAAAAAAAAAGCTTGATTAGTGCATCGTTTTGGGGAAACTTACGTAAATTAGTTTAGCGTAGTAACGTTGTCGCAAATTGTGCAAGACACAAGGCGTATTGAGCACAGTCATATCGGCCATATCTTCAATTTTTTCGAATTTCGGAGGATTCGTTTTTTCGACCTTATCGGCTTTAAAATCCTTGGTCTAAATTTTATGCAATACCACATAATAGAAATGTATAAATAAATAGTTTGAAATTATTCATAAGGGAATACATTATAGTGAATTAATAAATATACTATTATATATTACTATTTTTATATTTACACACTTTTAGAATCATTTGCAAATATGCGAGATATAAATGAAATTATTTCCTATTATTTTATTATGGGGAACTTTCGATATTAAGAAAAAAAGTACCGACGAAAAACAAATTTAGTTACATGGGAAGTTTCGCTGATAAACTCTTCAACCAGCATGGGAAGTAGAATTAATCTAGACTTTACAAAAAAAAATTAAACATTTCTACAAGAGAGTTACTTTTCGTACTGTATTGTTTTTTTTTTTTTTTTTTAATTTAGCTTCGTTTAGCCTGCAACAACGTTTTACTACTATCCATATTGCGGTGATTTTGCGTTTGTACATCATCTGCATATGCAAATTATTAACGCTTGTTTTACCTCGCCGCCGGGCAGGCTCACGGAGACGATGTCACCCTTGGTGGCCTTAATTTCACCAAGAAGATAACCTTCCTTCTCATCGGGCACCCAGCAATTCTTCTTGGAGTCATAGGGTTTCGATTGATCGATACGTCTTTGTTCCAAAGACACAAACAGGTATGGGGTTGGATCCTCATCCTCTTGGCTAGCAATTGGCTTCGGCATCTTGGTTAAAGATTCGCTTTTTCTTAACAGAAAACGTAAATTAAATATATATTATTGTAACTCGAGTGAGAGTCGGGGCTTGAGTGCAAAATTCGAAGTTTTTGCCAAGTTGTTTTCCTTTTCAAAAGTTTGAAGTGTTTCGCGTCGTCTCAGCCCAAATGCTTCCCTAAAATAGATAAAATATAGAATCCTATATTAATTTTTTGCTTTATTGTATGTATTGTTGTTTGGACACAAAAAAAGRACCAAGAAAATTTTGTTATACTAATTTCAATAAGGTTGTAAAGTAAAAATTGTAAAAGTGAGAAAAAATCAACAAGATAATAATAATAAGATAGATAATAATATTTTATGTACATATATACGCCCGAGAGCAAAAATAAAATGTCTATATTTCCACATAAGAATATCAAGATYGCGAAATACAAAATAATTTCTTTTGATGTTCTGAATTGTAATCGGATAGTTCCGTTTAGCTTTCTTYGCTCACTTTTCCGCATTAGTCCGCAGCGCTATCCGCTTGGGCTCTCTAATAGCCTACAAAAGTTTTTACTGCGGGTATTTGAGTGTATTTACTGTGCGCTGCTTTACCTAATACAGTTAATGTGGCGAATTATGGCGGGTGTTGGCTTTCACATACAGCACATAATGAAAAAATTCAATAATAGCTGAGACATGAACCAATTAATGGCGTGGAAAAAGCTACATCAGCAGCTATTGTTTGTTCTGCTTGCTCTCAGTGGTTGTTGCTTTTGCAAGTGAACTGAGCTTCAGAATGAGTATGTTTGGAATGTGTGGGTTGTTGTCTAAAATTAGCACTCGGAGATGCTGCAACCTCGCTACCACACATTTCTACATCCATGTCGTATGTATACACACATACATAGGCATATACCTATTTTCTACGAAACCAATTCTATAAATACATTATTTAAATGTTGTATTTATGTCTTCTTATATATGCACATCAATACGTTTGAAAATTGTTTTATTATAAACACATATTTGTTGTTATGTGCGTTTATGTATACGTGGTATGCTCTGTGGGCCAACTGTTACGTAAGCCTTTCGAAAATTTGCAACATTTCCGTATAAAATAAAGCCGTATATTTTTAAATTAAATAACAGATGAACAATACAAAAATATGTACAAACGAAATTTTCTTCAATTTTGTTTTAATATGTTTCTGAGTTTCGTAAACTGAATTGTGAATGTACTTAAAATTGTATGGGTATATAAAATATTACATAACAAAGAATATACATATGCATTTGATATGTTTTAAGATATCGTAGAAAATCTCTACCGCGCCACAAAAACTATCGATAATGTAATTCACATGAATGATTTTGGAGGATATAAGTTTATTTTGGAATTTTTAATGTCTTTTTTTAATACAATTTCACACAACATTTACACTATTTCTTATTTCAATAAAACTTTTTTTTTAATTATTTCATCAATTTTCAGATTTCTCCTCAGAAATATTTCTTCTTTATCGAAAATACTCCCCAAAATATGTTTTTTTGTATTTCACACTTACTTCGCGCTTTGTTAACGGGTAGTTAAGAACTTAATCTCACGTTTAAATAATTGCTTTCTATTGTTCAATAAAATGTTCGTAATTTTACGAAAAAATATAAGAAACGGTTTGTCGGCTTTTCCTTTTGGAAAAAAAAATCGCATAAGAAATCAGAAATTCAATGAAATTAATCGCTTTCTAACAGCATCCGCACAAAAGGAAATGATCTAAGACGTCCGAGTTGCAAGATCGCAATGAATTGGAAAACGCGAAAATTTCTCGTATCCAAACATTAAAAAAAGAAAAAAGTGTAATAACGTAATAAACCAAAAACATATACACACGAAAGTGTCTACACTAAGCTATAGTAAGCTTTGAACAAGAAAATATAAAGTAGCTAAAATAAAATTGTCTATCTGAGAGTATTTCTGTCGTCTCAAAAATCGGTATTATTTTGAAATTTCGAAATCGTTTTCCATATGTCTGTATGTCAACGCCGTGTGAAACTACTCGGCAGATAGTAGCTGGTCGTTGGTCGCCACCACATTGCCCATTGCGAGCCACCTATGCGCATGCATGGACATGTAAATGTGTTGAAATATTTCTATTTCTATCGTGCTCTTTCACTTTGCATTTCGTGTGTGAAGTTGATTTTGTATGTGTATATGCATATGTAATAAAGCGTACGTAATTTCTTTGGTATACTTTCAGATGTTACTGAGTAAATCTTAAAATTAAATTTTTTCGTTTATAAAACCCCGAAATTAACATGTACAGATAAAATATATTCCTGTTAATTTCTGTTAGAACATCAGAATAAAGTTAAGCAAAACTAATTCGCAAAAGTGCTAATTCTTACTTCCTATTGGTGTGTTTTGAAAGTATTCTATTTTTGAAAAATTTATTTGTATACGTCCGCACGGCTTTCCAACTATAACGTAAAAAACCTATGTGAACTATTTATTTATCTGTCTCTTATACACATCTAGATGTGTATAAGAGACAGGCTTTCCAACTATAACGTAAAAAACCTATGTGAACTATTTATTTATGAAGACATATTTACTGGTTAGCTAGATATAGTAAGTTTAGGCTAGATATAGACTTCTCCATTAAGTGCACAATTATGTTATTTATTTGACACCAAAAACATTTGATTTTTAAATTTAATTTTAATCGTATTATTCCTTATTTCATATATTATTGATAAAAGAAAAAAGGCGTAACTTCGGCTGCATCGAAGCAATAATATCTTTTACAGGTGCATTTCTTTTAGCTTAAAAGGGTATAAAGAGATATATATCTCGACCTTCATCGGTCGATTTGTAGACACCTATAAGCTCTGATCTACTGATCTGATCTGAACAATTTACACAGTTATCAATGCATTATATAATATAAAACGGAGTGTAAGTTCGAAAATCATTAAAGATGTGTTATACAAATGTATATAATATGTTCAAAAAATTATTAATTWAAAAAAAAATAATATTCCACTTTAGCATTTAATGGCCACGTCGTAATCCATTGATTTTGGCTCTGTATTTTCAAGAAACGGTTAGAGTATCGGGCAATCCACAAGTCTCTATTAAGTTATCCTTTTGTCCTGTACCGCATGTTATATACATATACACTTTTTATTACTTTTCTGGTTTTGTTTTTCCACTACATATTTGGAAATAATTTTAAAAGTCACTTAAGCTTTTATCACATTCAATTTTTGGAAAACAGATAAATCAAGAGGATTGGCAGGATTTCAATTTTTTCTGCTCATACTACTTCTCGCTCGCTCGTATGCACATAAACTCTCTTTCTTTCTTGCTTTTGCTCTCAAATAATTGCCATTCCAGCCGCAGTGAAAGCACAAAAAAAAAAAACTGTATTGTTTTTATTCACAGGAAAAATACACGAGCAAGAAATAATCCAACATTAAGGTGTTGCACTTACGCGTTCGAAAGCCGTTCTGACCCACACAGCCGGCACTGTTCCTTTTTATATGAGGCAATTTGATACCATATACTCGCAATGTGACGATATTTTCCGAACCGCTTACGCCAAAGCGCTAAAAGCACACAAGATACCGTTACTGTCGCCTCTTCTTGATCTCTTACACCCCCTCCTATTTAGAATATCCACCCACACATAGACAAATCACTGCTACTTTGTATTCATTGCATTTGTATGCGTATTCGTTATATGTATGTATATACGCAAAGTTTGTCCTGGTGGGTATTCGCTCCCTTTTTCGGTGCACGCTCATGTCCGCGATCTGTCGGTATGTACGGAATTGTTAGCGTAGTTTTCGTTGTGCTTTTGTATGCACGACACACCATTGGCGAATTCAGTGCGCTCGTATGCGGTAGCATGACTCAGTTGTTTTGGCTTTTGTAGTAGTGTGATAATAGCCATTGAAGTGATGCAATCGATTGCGTTAGTATAAAGTTAGCATAAAGTATCAGGATCCATTAGAGAGAACCATATAATAAAAGTGATCATAAAAGCTTTTTGAGAGAGCGCTGAACTCATAAGAGAACACATATACATATGCAAAATGGATGAGTAATAGTAACACATATAACACACAGAAAGCATTTCGGAAGGGGCATGAACATGAATAGCTTATTTTGGCTCACACTTTGAAAATAGTATCTTGAAATTCATAATTATAATGCCTTACCATATTTTAAATAAAATAATGTATTTAACTGCTGCTCATAAAATTTATAATTAATTTCAGAATCGTATGATATTTTACATTTAAAGGGAAGATAATAGAGTATTTTCATTACTCATATTTTTCCCCTTCTTGTAAGAATGTATATAATTTTTCGTGACTGTATTGATAGATGTACACATCTACCTATGTATATGTATTCGCACACTTTCTCTTGGTTGACTATCGAACTATTCAACAGTTTACGATACGTAAACAACTAGACTGAAAACCATTAACCTTATATCAATTATAGAACGATTTTCGAATSATATGATATAATTAAAAATTCTCCGAATTCAATCTACATTTTTAACTAATGTGAACTAACGTAAATCTTACTTAAAGAAAAGAAAATCCTCTTTTGATGGAAAAGATCAATAGTAAGGCACATCGGACCAGTCACTTATCGTTTTTGTTATTAAATGTTGGCTGGGCATCACATTAATGGTGGATATGTAGTATTAATATATGCAAGTTATTCGACTCATGCTGCTATCACCTTACGAACTAAAACATGTACGTATGTTTACTTAGAGAAATATGTTATCCTAGGTATAAAAATCAGAAATAAGCTGTCAAATACAATTTGGTTGGTATTCAATATATGCTAAAATTTTTTGTGACATCCTTGTATACACTTTTTATATCAAATTAAATTTTTCAATTAGCTCGAATTGTTAGCGGGTGYATTCTTCGTGCAGCTAAAATAAGCTGTTTCGGGCTTGCCTTGTGGAACATACTGTTACCATTTAAATATCAATCTCACTTACATTTTTAGATTTTCAATCCCGCGGTCAAACAATGGACGACAGGCGTAGCACAGCCCATATTTCAGTAAAAGGGCATATGTCAGGATTTACCCGACCTATATCGACCAACTGTGGTATATAATGCTAACTTGACTTTTCTATGTTGTACAAAATCCGAGTAAAACCACGCCTACTTCCCATATAATGCAATTTTAAATTCCATCYGACTCTTTCACCTTCTAAAATGCAAATCAAGCACCAATGAATTTGTCGGGTTACAACATTACCCGCATAGTGTGCTTAAAGTATGTCACCTTATGACCAAAAAATGTCCAAATTGGACCAAAATTATTCAAGTCTGCATGTACCGAATATTGTGGTCAAAATTCCAATTACGAACTTTTTATCGGAAATATAGGACAATCTGGTACCCTGAATAGGCTTGAATCGCTTCGAAAATTCTCCTAGCGTCCATATACCTAATAGAAAGATTCTCAAACCTCCAGTCGTCTTTATGCCGCATATATCGACAGATGTGTGAGTTATTTTAAAAAAGTTGAGGTGCATATTTGTACCTGAAATGGATAAACTCGGTAGAAAACTTGCCCTAAGCCCTATTTAAATAACAAACTTTATGCACCTGAAGTYTTTTTCTGGATTTGAATCTGGCAAATGGGAAGAGTGTGAAATGTTTAGTTCCATCCGAACTTATCCCTTTATTTCTTTTTGTTTATTATTTCCCGTTGATTTATATTACTAGGATAGAATCTTTATATCTTCTTCTTCTTGATTGGCGTAGTCACCGCTTACGCGATTATAGCCGAGTTAACAACAGCGCGCCAGTCGTTTCTTCTTTTCGCTACGTGGC